AAAAAAAAAGAGGATCCAGAGTCCTTGATTCCACTTTTAAGGATAGGTGGATATTAATGGGTGTAGGTTTGTTACACCGGAACATTTTGGAACTTACTGGGAGGCAGCTGCTTTTTTTATAATAATAATAATTAGGCAGATCTCCGAAGGTCTGGATGTAGGAGCCGTGCTGGAGTTTGTTTCAGCAAGTGCAACTGCAATATAGATCTGTTATATATATTTGTGTGTGTATAAATATGTATAAACAGCCCATCAAGTCCATCAGCCTGGGTGTGGCCATTGTAGTTGGACCAGGCTCGTACTGAACCACCACCGCTACTGCCTGCAATAGGAGATCCAGACTTGGAAGCGATTCAGTCTGATAGCTTGGAAGAATTCCATTTGGGAATCCTGTCAGTCCCTGAGCTACAGGGACAGTCTCCTGTGCCTCGTGTGTGGGAATCTGCTGCACTCCTGAACTGAAGGAACAGTGTGTGATGGTCACGCTGTTTGCAGAACTCCCTGATGCTGAGCTCCTTTTAAAAACATTCTGAGCTCTCATCTGGTTCAAAGCCAGCAGGGCTATGCTTGTACATTCCTTGGGAGCTTTCGTAATTCACCTCCAAAACGTCAGCAGCGTGCAGAGGTTAAAACAGAGAGGTGGGAACCGCGCAAGGGAACTGCTGCGGAAAGTTTAATGGTTAACTTAGCCAGGCTTCCAGAGCAGCATGGCCAGGTTTCGTACACGAGGGAGCTGGAAACTGAGTTAAAGGGGTCTGCAAGGGAGTAATTCCAGCAGAGAGGGGTGGGTACCTTGTTAATTGCCTCTTGCTAATTATCTTCACCAATAGTGTCCTGTAGTGGATGTGGTGAACAGCATGTCTGGGTGCTGAGCACAGGGCGATGTGGCAGCAGAGCTTGGAACTGCAGTGACCCCATGGAGGCAGGATCCTGTGAGCAGGAATTGCTCTGTGTCTGTGTGAATGGTTCATCTTCTAGACATGTTAGTCTCCTCAAAACGTGGTGCTGTGTTTGAGACCTTAAATGAGGAGGCCTTTTAATGTTGACCAGAGTTTTGGTAATAAAAATGTAACTTACGTGCAATTATTTGTGACTGCATTTCCTGGCAGTCTAAAAACAATGTCAGGGTTTCTTTAGTGGTTTTGAAGAGGCTGTTGCTCGTGGAATATTGAACCAATGACCCAAACTACTCAGTGATGATGAAATGCCCAATCTAACATTTTATTGAACATGGCATTTATGAAAAATGAACCTGCTCATTTCTATTATATAATCAATAGCACATTAAACCATTTATCATTAATTTGATTTAAAAATGCCATTTTGAGCCTGTATGTTCCCCTGCCTTCCCAGCTGAGTTTAAATTTGATATCCGAGAAAGCACAAGGTAGTGAAAAGAAAAACGCTCATTGTAGCTGTCCTCGCTTTGTGTAGCAAAATTGGAAGCTCCCCTTTTGCTGTATCACTTCAAAACAATAACAAGCAACAATACAAATGTGCGGAAAAAACTTTCTGAGCTGTCCTCAAATCCAAATGGATTCCTGGCATTGTGACACAAGTGAGTGCATTTCTGTGATGGAAACCCTCCTTGCCACAAGTGGTAAAAAAGATGTTACTTTAAGAAATTACCTTTTAGGAACTTCATTTCCCCAGTGAAAGCTAGGAACCTGTGATGGCTTTGCTTCTTGAAGGGTGTTAAAAGTAAATGGAATTTGTGTCTGTAAATCCACTCCTGTCTGAGTGTCCCCCTCACTGACTGCACTAGGTCAGCCCCTGGGGGAGCCTGGACCATCAGGTTTTGGTGCTTTTCCTCTGGGTGTTCCTCCAGGAATGGCTTCCTGTGCCCAGGAACTGGTTCTTGCCAGGACAGTTTGGGAACTGGATGGTTGGGCTCTTTCAAGCTTTGCCTGGGGGAAGTTCTGGTTGATTTTAGCAACTGCACTTCAAAAAAAGTAGGTGTTAAGCAATCTCCATGGAATGAGCAGGAGCTGCAATGCAAGGGATGTAGAAGGGTGAGGTGAGAGAGGGGAGATTACCAGGACTCTCTAGAGTACAAAAATAGCATTGCTGGGAGATGATAATGGAAGAAGCAGGGTTTTTCTCTATTGATCCTGTAAGAGCCATCTATGTCCTTGGAACGAGGCCAGGTGCCATCTGAGGTCCCAGGGTGGTTGCAGTAAAGGATGAGGTGGATTCATTCTTGATGGATGTGGTGGCACGCTGTTCTCATGGTTATCTGTCTGTGGCTTTGTGGACAGATGATGCACCTTCCTCCTTTGCAACACAACACATACCCTGCTGGGGAGCAGAATGGGCTGCTGGGGAGCACAGGGAGGGTGCTAGGATAAGGTAGAACTGTGGAAAGTCAGTGCTTTTGGATAGTTACAGTGTCCCCTTGAGGGTTAAGATTGAAATATGAGTAGAATTTGTTGTACATCTCTGGATTTATGTATTTTTATCTGAAGCAACTTTGATTTTTTTTGTTCTTCTGATTTGGAGGGGATAGTAGTTGCCTAATACAACTAAAGTCTGAGCATGGATTGCTTGAGTAGTGGGGTTTTTGCATAATTTTTTATACCTGGGTATACACTGATGAGCTGTTGAGGTCCCTTGTTGCTCTACAGATAGTGTGGACAATCCTGGTGTGATAATTGAATATTTTATTAATTTATGTAGTGAAGCAATATCCCATTCTTGATTTTTGGGCCAAAGTAGTGCGATGTAACAGCTGATGGACTTCCCTTTCAGGGCTGATCTAGAGAGTGAGTGGCCTTTTGGAAATGGCCTTGGCTGTCCTTGAGTTCATTTTTGGTGGTTTCCACAGGCCTCCCAGGAGGAGCTGAAGGCCGCGTACCGCCGGCTGTGCATGCTGTACCACCCCGACAAGCACCGCGACCCCGAGCTCAAAACCCAGGCTGAGCGGCTCTTCAACCTTGTCCACCAAGCGTATGAAGGTCAGGGGGAGGCTGAGCTTTGCAGGGGGTTTCTGGGAGGGCTGTGTTTTCAGGATTTTTGAAGCTATTTATTATTACAAAGTAATAATTAAATTTGCTGATACTTACCAATGCTATTTACCGATTCTGTGCCGTAAGAGGATAAATGCCGTATAAATTCTGCAGGGAATGAGATCTAGAGTGTCTGTCTTATCTCCTGCATGTTGTAAATTACCTTCTCATCACTTCCCTTATTTCTGAAGACCTCTTCCATAGGAGAATAAAGACTGAGAAGCTTCAAACAGAGAGACAGTTTCATATTGTACTGGTGAACTGCTACATCCACAGGTTCTGTTCCATGTCACCTGGTTGTGATCTCCATTTCCAGCAAGTTCTTCTATATGCTCAGATTGAGAGGAGGACAACTGATCCACAGCAGTTAGAGTTTATTCTTGTGCCAAAGCCTTTTCCAAATATTCTGAATTAAACTGAAATTTACTTAAATCCTGGTGCACAAGTTGCACCTGAAGTGCAGGTGGATTAGAAGCTGGTGGGAGTCATCCATGTTACAAACCTAGTGCACCCAGTCCTGGAGTCTGAAGAGAAACTAAAACAAAATGCTGAATAAATATTCCCCCATTCAACCTCAAATATGAGTGAATATTTTTTACAGTTTTTACTGATAAGCATTTTTTCCTTCCAGTTGGACTTGAGCATGTGTGGGGTCTTCCCTGTTGTCCCTAGGTTAGACGTTAGGATATGTGGAAGCTTTTGCTGGGAGAGCAGGGAAAGTCTGACCTTGATGACTTGCAGAACAAAAACTCATAATGCTTCAGTAATTTCATTTTAGTGTGGTGAGAAGCCTTACATTAGAGGCAGCAGCTTCCCTTTGAATTTTCTGGCTGCTCATGGCTCTGCCTTGCAATGAACGTGGAAATTTGTGCTCGTTTAGTAAATGTAAGTGTAGTATGTTAAAAGAAAAAATTTTGACATCTTGGAAATGAGCCACTCTACCTCCTGTCTATTTTCTCTTTCTCTTCTTCCATCTCTTAGTATCACACAACAAAAGATTCATTTTATCAGAATTCATAAAAAGCATAAAAATGTCTGCCTGTGACATTTAGCAAGTCCAATAATATTCCACTAGTTCAGACCAAAACTCAATTACCAGTATAAGCCTCTTTTAGCCTTGCTATATTCCCCCAGCTCCCTGGGGACATATCAGTTTTCCCACAGCCTCAAGAAATACATGATAATGATAAAGCTGGTCTTGGAACCCTGGAGGAGGAAATAGTGATGTTTTTTTAATTTATTTTTTCTTGCAGAAAGGTGTGTTGAAGGAGCTTATGCATTTAAATATGCCTTACCCCTTAGAGACTTCCTAATTCTGTGCCCAGTCTTTTTCTAAAGTAACTGTTCTGCAGTCTGCTGTTGTATTTTGTGTTGTCCATTGTGTTGGCTGACATTCTGGGAGGTTAAGATTCTACACACACCTTTGCCATTACCCGTTATTGATGTTTTGCAAGGTGTGAACTGCCTTGTGGAAATTGCTTTGTTGGTGCTTGGCATGTACCATGTGTGGGGACCAGGTGGGAAAGGATCAGTGGACATGGATGGTCAGGAATACCAAAGGAAGCCCCACAGAGCTTTGGAAGCCAGACAGAGCTGGGTGGCAATCTCAGGAAGGGCCCAGGGACTGCTCTGGCCAAATTGTTCATATCCTTCATGTTTGTTAGCAGGCTTTTGTCACCTTCAAAGAAAGCAGTGCTAGAAACCCCCTCTGCACATTCACTTAGGCTGCATGTCTCTTGTGTTCTTTCCACTTTCTTGTTTTAGAAAAAGAAGAAAAAAGTTGGATTTGTTGGGGGGAAAAGTCAGCATGTCTTCTCAATAAAGCATGTGGAAGCATCAAAGGGATTAATGTGCAACTGTAGAACGTTTCCAGGATCTGTGCTTGAATTCCAAATATCTTGAGTGTTTTGGTCCGAAATCTGAGGAGAAGACCAAAAACTGAGTTCTCTCCTCTCTTTTGGTTTCAATTTACAGTGCTTAGTGATCCACAGACCAGAGCCATCTATGACATATATGGGAGGAGAGGACTGGAGATGGAAGGCTGGGAGGTGAGAGAAATTAAGCACGTTATGGCCAGTGGCCTTGACTAAGCCCACCTTTTTCTGCCATTGTTCTATCAGCTGCACTGACACCTGGCTAGTAATAAATGCCTGTTGGTTTGAAGGCATCTTTGGTTAGTTATTGCTGTCTCTCTCTGTCCCTGCTGGAACACCAGGATGGATTTTCAAAGAACCTTTTTGCACTTGACAAGAGAACAATAAACCTGACATTCAGAGTTCCCTGGAAGGATTACCATGACAGGCAACATCTTTATCTGAGACAAATGTGTCATTATTGTCCATCTCGACCCTTCTTTTTCATCCGAAACTTGTTTTTTTCAGCATCAACTAGCTTCTGAGTTTGAAATTACTTTTTCTTCCTGGGCTTTTTGGAGTGGGTTGGGGTGGGGTTTTTCCTCATTTTGGTTTGGTTTAGTTTTGGTTTGGTTTTATAGGCTTTGAAGCAGAACTTGTCCGTTCGTGTCTGTCCAGCTCTTGAGTCCATTGCTGGCCTCTGCCAGCCCTGGTTGATTGTGCTATGCTGCTTGAAACAGAATCCTATGGTATTGGGTCAGGTCAGCACCAAGGTCAAACCTGGAGCAGATTGCTAAAAATGTAGAGCAGATCCAGCATGTAACAGATGTTTTTAAACTGCTTTTGGCAGACTTGATCTTATTTGGAAAAGCCAAATCCAATACTCTTTCTATCCATTCCAAAAGTGGGCCTGTGAAAAACCCTCATTCCCTGAGCCATGTAAGGTAAGCAGCTGTGAACCAGCATAGCCTAAAATCACACAACACTCACGGATTCAATTTACTTCAGGCCAGAGGCTTTCAGTTATTTTCATTTTTGTGTCCACACCTGGTAGAGCAGTTAATGGATTGCTGAGGATAACAACTGCACTGCAGTGTCTTGTAGTTGTGGTTGGAAAGCTCTCTGCCCTGGTTTTGTCAAGGGAATGGAAATAACAAAACCATTTTCCCTTGTTTCAAGGCATGGAAAGGCATTTCTCATTCCTGCCCTTTGATCTGGTCTGGGTGCTTTGTTCCAAACTCTGACTATTGAAATTGGTGCAGGGTGGCTTTCAGCAGCTGGGGCAGCATGTAAGAGCATCCTGCATCCAAGGGCCTCTGACCCCCCAGCACTGCAGTGCCCTGAGCAGCCTCTGTCTGGTAATTGTTTGGTTTTCATTTCTTTTTGAGCAGGTTGTGGAACGCAAGAGAACTGCAGCTGAAATCAGGGAAGAATTTGAGCGTTTGCAGAGAGAGAGGGAAGAGCGGAGACTGCAGCAGAGAACTAATCCAAAGGTAAGCAAAGACTTAATCCTGGTCTCAAGAGTGAGTCTGTAATTATCACCAGTGTGCAGGGTATGCTGAGCCTAGGTGAGGGCCTGTAGGAAGGAGCCCCTCAGGTGCCTACACTTGCTGCATGACTTTCTGTCTTTTGCATATGCAGTTTCTCTGCATAATATAGGGAGAACAGCTCATTCTTTGAACAATCCCCTACTGAATGTTCTTCTTTTCTTAGAGAAACACATTGAGACAAAATACCTTTTTCAGCAATTTTCAGAAAATAGACCTAACACTGAAATATTTATGATTTCTTTCCAAGTTTTCTAAAATAAAATGTAACTCACTGCAGTTACCTGACAGGTTTTCCCTTTGACACTGCTGCAGTGTCACAACAATTCAGGGAGCTATTCAAATGCAGCTTGAAACCAGCAACAAATCTGAGGCATCCCTAAGCCAGCTGGGCAGCAGCAAAGTCAACCTAAATGGCGCTGGGGGTCTGCCAGTATTGCAGTTAGTGCCTGTTTTTGGAAAGTGTGATCGTGCCCTCAGGATGAGAATCATCCTGGATGCTGTTTTCCTCTCAGTCTGTTTGAGCAGCAGACTGACCCTGAGTCACTCACCTCACAGCTAACCTTGGCTGGTCAGAGGTGCTCGGGAATACCACTGGGATGGCAGGGAGAGATGGACATGGCCATTGGCCAGAGTATCCAAGCCTAGACTCACGGTGTCTTTGCTGGCTCTTGGCTTGGTGAGTGTTTGAGGCAAACCCAGAGTTTGTCAGGATAGTCCTTGACTGAAGTTTTAAAGCTTATTGAATCACAAAAATCTTGGTTCTTAGGCAGTGACTAACATTATCCAGGAGCTGCATCTACTGTTAACTAAATGAATTCATATGTTAGTGTAAAACCACGATGTCTTCTGAGTGGACAGATGTGGGATTGCAGTGGTACTTAGGATTGGATCCTGAGGAAAACATCCATCTAAGCAGAGCAATAATATTTTGAGACATTCACCTTGGCACCACCTTTGGATCTGCTCTCAGCAAAGCAGTTGGACTGTACAGATCCCCAGGCTGTGGGTAGTGCATAAACACTAAGAACTGGTTTGTACTGGAAGGGAAAACAAGCACAGAGTGTTGTGTGAGTATCTGTTGACAGCTTTATTCCAGCAGGAAGGTATTTCTGGGTGCCATAAGCCAGGCAGGACAAACTATCCCTCCTGCTGGAGGTACAGGTGAGTGGGGTCAGAGAGATGTTTTTGGAGAGGAGCATGGTTATCTCCCACTCTGCTGCTCCCTGCTTCAGGAATGTGACATTTTCCCTGGGCGCCTCGCCGTGGCTGTGAGCTGCACTGTGAGCCTCAGCCTGTGTCCTGGGATAAAATTAGCCATCTGGGTGTTTACAGCAATTGCCGGCTGGCAGCCGATGGAAATGCCTCTCCAGGCAGTGTTCCCGTGGAATTGGGGAGCGCAGCTGTGATCATTTCATACACGAGCGCAAGTTATTTTAGAATTTCCAACATTTGTCGGTTCTATAAAACAGTTCCACAAAAATAAAGCATTTTAACCAGAAATGTTGAGCAATAACCAGATGTAGGCAATTTGGAGGGTTGAAATTGAGTCTCCTATTTGCTTTTAGAGCTTTGTTTTTGCTTTCAAAGATGTGCAGAAGGGTTGAAAAGTTCATTACTAGGTTTAAGAAGAACTGCTTCCTGTTAGGAGAAATTAAATCCAGTTATTTTCCTGCTGTGGAAGGTCAATATGTAAGGAGCACAGATCCCTCTAGGCAAAGCCTGGCACAACTTCCAGGTATCACCTCCCTGAAGGTAAATCCCTAAGAAAAAAGTAAGGAGTAAGTATATTTTCCTCTGGCACATCTATGAATTGCATTAGTGAAGTCTGGCAAATAAAGATGATTTTAGAAGCCAATCCCAGCTCTGATGGTTCCATAGTGCCACTCCTGCTTCCTGCCCTGCCCAGCAGCGCAGTTGGGCAGCACTGAGTTCTGAGCAGGCGTTACAGCTCTCTCCTGCTGCTCTTCCTTTGGGGAGAGCTCCTCATTTCCCATGGTCAGAGCAGGTGGCTGATGGGAGCTGGGAGCAGCAGCAGTCCCCTCATTTATCCGGCAGCATAGGGGTGCTCTCGTTCTCTGGGAATATTTTTAACTTTACCATCTGCTGCTTTTCCTGTGCCTGCGCCTGAACCAGTTTCCTTGCCAGGATCCACAGACCTCCGAGGGTGACTTCACCTGCTTGGCAGGAGGTGGAGGGTCTGCCCAGGGTCCACCTCTCACCTCAGGGAAAGGCAGAAGAGTAGGAGCTCTGCTGGGGAATGGGGAAATACTCCTTTTCTCTGAACAGATCTTGTGGATATTCATGGAGAGGTTCCGGTGTTTTCCTTTTTTCCTTGGGAGGGATATTTGCTGTACAATTAATACATGTGAAAAAAGAAAGCCTAGTATTTTGAGTGTGTTTTAGAGGAAGGAGGTGCAATGAATTTTGAGTGTGAATTGAGGTGTGGATCTTGATGCATCTTTCCAAAGGGTGCAGCATTGTGGCACCAGTAAGCCAAGTACAGCAAGATGGTCTCCAAATGGGTGTTTGCTAGCACAGGACTGTGCCCTTCTAGCGTGGTTAGAGGTTTTCCATTGCTTCCCTCTTCTTTTGGCCTCGTTTCAAGGAACAGCATGGCATAAGAGAGGGCTGAAACTGGAGAAGCTGTAGGGTCTGAAGTTGCTTGAAGGTGACTTTGCCGAAGGTTCCTGAAAGGGCAGGAGCTGGTTGTTGGTGCCACCACCATGCAGAACAATGAGTGTAATTGCTCTGAAATTCACCAGCTGCCAAGAGTGATTAGTAAACAGCTGGGGCACAGCCCCTGTTCCAGGGTTCTACTGGAAATAACCACACCTTTCAGTTTTAAAATATTTATCCAGATTTTGCTTCATAAGTAATCAGAAAATAAACACTGAAAAGAGGTTGGGAATCTCCACAGCAAATAGGCTGGGAACCCAGGCAGAGGAAAGGTTCAAATCCTGTTAGACTCTGCAATTCTTCCTTTATTTATGGTCCAGCATTTGATTAGAGTGGAGTGATCAAGGAAAAATACTCCATCAGACTGAAATGAGGATTTATCACAGTTGTGCTTGGCCTCAGTGTGGGTGGGGTTTGTAGCTACCCTGCTATTGAGTTTCCATATACAAACTGCCCAGAGTTCAGCCTGTGCTTGTGCACAGAGGGGGGGGTTTTATTGCAATCCAAATGTTTTATAGGAGCTGGGATGCTGTCAGATGGGTCCATAGGGAAGGTTTCCAAAGCTTCTTGAAGTTATATGACCCAGACAAGTACCTAATTGTGCTCTTTTCAAAGAAACACACTCCTGCAGTTAGTCTGAGGGAGCACAGCAGCAGGTAGCCAGGCTATTGTGCTGTGGCCTATATTTTGTAGGAATAAGTTTTTCTATAGTCTGAGAAAGGAAATATTTACCACTTGCTAAAAGTATGTCTTTGTCAAGCCTTCTTTCTGATCACAAAATATAAACTAGAAAAAGAAATCAAGGTATTTTACTAACAAGGTCAATTGTAAGTGAATGATACAGTTTAGTACTAAGTCGGTTTAGGTATCTCATCAGAAGAAGCCTGTAGAGGTTTTCTGACCAAATTCCATTGAAGAAAATCAATTTCTAGAATATATTATTTTGACTTTTAAATACTAACAGAGCACAGTCAATTGTGAGGAAAGAGGAAACCTGCTTTCTAAAGGTGTTCTACCTGCTTCTGTAATGTGTCACAATAGAAAAATGACCTCCCGGGATTGCAAGTTGAGTTTGTACTGAAAAACTGCCTTTTCTCCAGTCTGTTTGATGATTTATGTTGCTCTTTTGAAAAATTGTAATCATTCACTTTTGTCTTCGTGCATTAGGAAGTGCATTTTAGAGTGGTGAAAGTAATTGCAGAACAATGGAAAACTGCACGAAAATATAATCATACACAGGGATGGTTCAGCCACTTCTCTGTACACCAGATGTTTGCTAATGCTAAATGCCTGTTTCATTTGTCATCCCTCAGGGAACAATTAGTGTGGGAATAGATGCCACTGACCTGTTTGATCGCTATGACGAGGAATATGAAGATGTGCCTGGGAGCAGCTTTCCCCAGATTGAGATAAACAAAATGCACATATCCCAGTCCATCGAGGTGAGGAGGGTGAACATTGCCATGTGAGCAGGGCATGAGTGAATGAAGCACCTCAGAACACAGAACATGCTGCTCAGGGGCTCTCAACAGGATTTGGGGGGGACACAGTGGCCAGCATGGGTGGGAAGAGGCAGCTTGGGGCCAGCAGAATGGTGGGTTGGCTCTGTAGCCTAACTGATCTGTGTGCTGCAGTGGTCCTACCCTCCTGCCAGTGGAGATGTTCAGTGCCCAGTTCTCACTGAATGGAGCATCTTCAGTGGATGAGAGCAAATTGCACCCATTCTTGAGGATGTGCATAAGGATGGGAAGGATTTCCTCTTTCAGAGAGTTGTAAAAATTTAGTCTGCTAGAAAGATGAGAATGGTTTACAGCTCAAGGTCAGGACTTCAAGGTGGAACATTACAGGTGTCACAAGTGTCTGGAACTGTAAGAATTATCTGACTTTTTGCCATGCTTGATGTTTTACTGCAAAACCATTTGCACTCTGCAGTAGTGATTATGTCCTTGCAGAACATGCACTAAATGTGTGAAGTAGGATCAGAGTTACTGGAAACAATATATTTCTTTTTCAGGCACCCCTGACTTCCACAGACACAGCAATACTATCTGGTAACCTTTCCACCCAGAATGGGAATGGAGGGGGATCAATTAATCTTGCACTGAGACGAGTGACATCTGCCAAGGGATGGGGAGAGGTAAGAGTACACCTGTTACATGGTTTTATATTCAATCTATTGCCTGGTGTTCTATTTCTTGGGGGGAAAATTTTACCTGTGGTTCATCTCTCATTTTCTATGTTCTGTAAAATGTAGAAAAAGGAATTCTTAAAGGAATTTGAGACAAAGGGAAGACCAGATCTTGCTTTTTCTTACTTTTCTCCCCTCGCCATTTGGCCATGAATTTGGACTTCACTTAAGCAGCCAGAGTTGTTACCTGATGTCTCTAGTCTTTCTGGTAGCTCTGTCTGAATACACAGTGCTGTGAGCAGGCCTTTTAGGGCAGTATGATAGTTGACCTTTGCTTCCAATACTGCTTTGCTTGCATGGGAAGAAGTTATGAGAGAAATAGTTTGGCCTCCTCCAGCAGATCTGGCCTGAGCAGCTGGGAAGTCCCATGTTGCACCTGCAAACTGGGCTGTGTTTGAGGTGCTCGTGGCATCGCTGGTGTAGCTGGCAGCTGCCTGTTCCTTGCACATGAGCTCCTGCAAGCCTGCTTCCTCAGCTCAGGAGAGTGGGAGTCTTCCTCTCATTTGAGATTCACACATTGGAGGCTTTTGATTTGTGTCAGGATTTTGTGAGGGCAGGGTTTTCTCCATATTCCCTGGAGTGACCAAAGCAGGTGCCAGTGGCTTTGGTCACCTGTAGCTGTACAACACTGGCTTTGTTTTACCCACGAGGTCCAATTTAGCCAGACACCTTTTCTCCTTCTGAATGCAAAGCTGCAGGAAGGGAGGGTGCTGAAAGGGGTGGTAAATGTTACTTAGCTGTGGTGAAAATTATGCTCATGACATATTTTGTCATTGTTGTAAAGAATGTCTTCATCTAACACTCTGTGCATTTCAACAGTTGGAGTTTGGAGCTGGAGACCTTCACGGACCTCTCTTTGGGTTGAAGATATTTCGTAACCTTACACCAAGATGGTAAATATTAGAAAAATGGCCTAGTGCTTAATATTCCACAATGAGGAACTAAATGACTTGAATTCTCTTCCACATTTATTTTGGATTTGTTTTCTGTCCTACAAAATAAGCTATTTTTGCATTAGACTTAAGGTCATACTTGTATTGTCAAAATGCCTGCATTCTTTCTGGATATTGGTGCCCTCCCTTTCCATATTGCCAGTTTAGGTCTGTGTTCCACATTCATTCCACATAGATTTGTACTCAATCAACACAACAAAAAATGGGGAACTCTTCTGAGGCTTCCATGTGTGAGAGGGAATTTCTGACAGCAAAACAGGAGATGATGTCATATTTTAGGGAGATAATGCCAAATTCGCCACTAGTTTCATGTCTGTTTACAAATAGAAGTCTCAGGTTGCAAAAGAGAATTCAAGGTAAAGCCTGTGATTAGAGCCACACATCAGAGCATCATAGTAGATTGTGTAGGTTCCCTCTGTTTATATTTTCAAATTTAGTGAATCTGCCATTCCTCAGAGCTTGTACAGGATTCTTGTTCCCTGGAGAGTGCTTTAGCACTGTTTTTTAGCTGATGATTAAGGATTATTAAATCCTTAATGCCAGCAGCCCAGTGTGCTGTTCTGCAGAGACCAGGATGTTATCTGCACAGGGCAGGAAGGGGAAGGCCAGGTGCCTGGGCAGCATCATGCACAGACAATAAACCAGGGTACAGCCTGCTCTCCTGGGCACTGCTGTGCTCAGAGCAGTCTGAGTTAGTTCTTACTTCTCCCTGAGAGCCTCCAGCATCATGTTTTTTGCAGGTTGGTCTCTAGGCACTCAGTAAAGTTCCTGGGCCACAAGGACTCTGGGGTCACCTGGGAGCCTGTGTGTTTTCACTGATGAGTTTTTCCTCATTTCTCTAGTTTCATCACCACGAACTGTGCCCTGCAGTTCTCGTCACGCGGGGTCCGCCCCGGCCTCACCACGGTCCTGGCCCGAAACCTGGACAAGAACACAATGGGCTACCTGCAGTGGCGCTGGGGCATCCAGTCAGCCATGAACACCAGTATTGTCCGGGACACCAAAACCAGCCACTTCACTGTGGCAATGCAGGTCAGAGCCATGGCTGGGACCTAATCCTGCCCTGGGGGAGACAGCAGCCTCACCTTCCTGTCCCAGCAGTATTTTGCCTTGGGATTAGAGGTTAAGGAAGAAGTTGGTTTATCTCATGTTAGACCTAATATAGGTAACCAGGGGTTTGGCAGAGCACAGCTCTTGGCATTGTCATGGGTGACATGGGTCAGCTTAGAGTAGAGTCAGTACAACATGGACAGCAGAGGTTGTAAGTGGCAAGCGCTGCTTTGTGTTCTGTGCTTCAAGGTTGAGAAAGGAAATTTGGGGGCAGCAGTGGCCAAGGGTATGTTATGATACATTTGTGCCTCTTGTGTTTCAGCTGGGAATCCCCCATTCTTTCATGATGGTCAGTTACCAGCATAAGTTTCAGGATGAGGATCAAACACGAGTGAAAGGTTCTCTCAAGTAAGTGCTCAAGAGGGAATTCACATTGCTCACAGCCTGGGGACTGTGTCCTCTCCCACTGCTGTAGGCCTCCAGGTTCCACACAAACCATATCCTTCTGTGGCTTTTGGGAGCCTGCTTTTCACTCTTTATATCTGGTAAAGGCTGAAGTGAATGTCTTGTAGACTTGGCCCTGTGTGCCTCTGCAGTTAAACAGAAGTTATAATACTTGTGTATGATATGTTTACATCATCCCCTGTAAGAAAGCCAGAAGTTCCTGTTTACTCCTTAGCAAGGTGGAACGTCTAAATCTCACCTTGGAGATACACCACGAATCTTCCAGAGGCAAACGTCTGCTGCAAACAGATGCATTTCCCTGCTTTATATGTTTGGGAATTACAGGATTCAGTAATGAGAAATTCAAATGTCTTCTCTATCTTAACAGTTTTTGGTTCTGTCATTCTAGGGTGGGTTTCTTTGGGACCATAGTGGAGTATGGAGCAGAGAGGAAGATTTCCAGACACAGTGTTTTAGGAGCCACTGTCAGCGTTGGTGTTCCTCAAGGAGTGTCCTTGAAAATCAAGTCAGTTCAAGATCTCAACTCTTTATTCCAGAGGCTGACCATAACCTCCATGATTCTATTTCCAGTATTCAGGTGGGAAGGTCCCAGTCCCAGGTCAATACAGGTGTATTGATACATCACTGGGAGAGGCTACAGCTGCCCTCAACTCTTAATGCAAGCTGTAAGCCCATTGTAAGTAGTGGGTGCCTTCCACTGGTGTAACTCACAGCCTGAGCCACCTGTCTGTGTGTGTGTGCATCAGAATATTCTGAAATACAGCTTAAAGTGAGATTTGGAGCACTCTGGTAAGTGAATGGAAGATTTCTGAAAATACTAGTTGAGATGGATTCCATGTGTATTGTGTTGTGTACGAGTGAATGCTTGAATTAGGGAATTACCATTGCATAATGCACGTGATTGTACCATTAACAAGGTGCAGTTCACAGAGGGACTGAGCTCATTAAGTGTCCTTGTCTTGTGTGCTTGAATTGGGGCCAGCTACAGGTGGCGTGTGAAACTGCTGAAGGGCCTAAAGAATTCAGGCCCAAGGGAAGTAATGTTTTCTAAAATAAATATTGTTACAGACATCAGAAAAATATTCATGTACACTTGCCTTGAAGGCCCATGCCTGTGTTATGACCACAGGCCTTCTCTAGAAGCATTTTCTCTTATTTCATGAGGATATTTGTCCCTTTTTCTGTTGAAATTAATGACCGAGCAAATTCTCCTAAGATTAAAAAAAGAACTTTAGAATGGTCAGGTACTATCACGAGCTGCTACTTCAAAGTGTGGCTCTGGCTGGTGTCAGCTGCCTTTCCTGCCGTTGGCTTTTTCAGTTTATGAGGCTTTCACCTTTTTGAGCTCCTCATTCATCTCCCCTTGGTTCATCAGCACACACTGCTGCTAAGTGTGTTTCATCAAGCACATCCAGCTCTGTTTTTCCTCTTACCATCCCTCTGCTCTTCTTTGTTGCAGGCTGAATAGGGCCAGCCAGACCTACTTCTTCCCTGTCCATCTAACAGATCAGCTGCTTCCCAGCGCCGTGTTCTATGCCACCGTGGGACCTCTCGTTATCTACTTCGCCATGCACAGGCTGGTCATCAAACCCTACCTCAGGGCACAGAAGGAGAGGTGAGTTTGCACATTCCTGAGGAAGTCTCACTCGGGCTCATTCGTGTGAGGCTGTGGGTCAGTTGTAATTGGGGTGGGTAAGCAGACCCTGCCAGTTTCTGCCTGAATCCCAGCCATGTATTCCTGCTGAGATGTTGCCTTCCTTCTGCCAGAGAGCTGGAGAAGCAGCGGGAGAGCACAGCCAGTGACATCCTACAGAAGAAGCAGGAGGCTGAAGCTGCAGTGAGTCTTGCTTGTAACTTGATCCCCTTAGTGAAAGGAAACTCTTTTCACTCTGGACCATTCTCCTTTGGCCACAGTGTCTGACCCTGTGTGATTTCTGCTCTGCCACTTGTGTTGTGACAGGTCCGGTTAATGCAGGAGTCAGTCCGAAGGATAATTGAAGCAGAGGAAGCCAGAATGGGTAAAGATTATGATATCATTTACTTGTTCTATAAATTTGGAGAGAAGAAGGAACAATGCAAAGGTGTTGTTTCTTCATTCCCACTCCTAATGAAGTGCAGTGTAGTTGCTGCTGCACACGTAGTGGGGGAGACCCATTATGACTCAGCTCCAGGTGCCTGAGCATAGGAGGGATCACAGAATATTATCTTGGGACATGGTGTGAAGTGGATCAACAGACTGAAGACAACAGTCTGGATTCACCTCTGCCCCAGAGAGAGGTGTGTGTATATAAATAGGTGCCAAAGTTGTAGTCTGAAGTTCAGCTTTCACTGATTTCTCCCATACATGGTTTGCTCCTGGATCATAGTAGGAATCTAATCTCTGATGGTTACTAGCAATTTTGCACAGATTGTTCCAAAGTGAACTGTAATCCACTTGGACTGTCACATCAGTGTGGCACCCAGGTCCTGTCACTCCATTCTAGTGCCGTGGGTTGCTAACAAATGCTCAAGTAAAAATGTTCTTTATTGGGAGGTGTGGGTCCAGGCCAGGAGAATTAAATCTCACTGAAAGCAAGAGAAAATGTTGCAATGGTCTTTTTGTCAGTGGAAGCCTTCCATCACAGTTGTGATTTCCTGGGAAATGCAGGTCTGATTGTAGTGAACGCCTGGTATGGGAAGTTTGTTAACGACAACAGCAGGAAGAATGAGAAGGTGAAGGTTATAGATGTGACTGTGCCTCTGCAGTGCTTGGTGAAGGATTCTAAACTCATCCTTACAGAGGCCTCCAAGGTACGTAGCTGTCCTGTCAAAGCCCAGATTCAGGGACTCAAATGTGCAGCCCAGAATTTCATTTGAACCATGTGGTGTCCTGCCAGGGAGTCTCTCCAGTGGCTCTGGATCAATTCACAAATGCTATTTACATACCAAATATTACAAACTTCCAGGAACTTCTGTTTCTTGGGGCTTTTCTAGGCCATTTGTCTGCATTGTGGGAGAGTGGGTGTTAGAGACCTTCAGGCTCTACATCAGAAATTTCCCAACCCCCTGGTTTACTTTTATGCACTGAAAACTTGTAGAGGTGATTCCCCAGTGTCTCACCTTGCTGGCAGCAAAACTCCTTTTGTTTTTTTTTATGACACCTTGTCCTGGCACTTATAAATGTTTTTGGCCAGCTGGAGAGCTGTGAAAGTTCATTCCCTGATGCTCAGTCTCTCCTTCTCTGGTTCAAGGCTGGGCTTCCAGGCTTCTACGATCCCTGTGTGGGGGAGGAGAAGAGTTTGAAAGTGCTTTATCAGTTCCGAGGAGTTCTGCACCAAGTGATGTCAGCTGACAATGAGGCCCTTAGGATACCAAAGCAATGTAAGTAGCACAGACTGCCCAGCATCTTCCTTGGAGAACCAGTAATGGACTACTTCAGCTCTGTGGTGCAGAGCACAGAGCTGGGGTTTTGGGGTTCAGATTTGGAGTTACTGGAATGGACTGACCATGACTTGCCTCTGGAGTAAAGGCCCAAAAGAACTCAGCAGCAGCTCTGCAGCTGTTTGTACCAGCTAGTCTGTATCTCTGACTGGGGCTGGAAGCAGAGGCCTCCCACAGGTGCCAATGTCCTTTGCAGTTCACGGCACTGGGTGGCCATTTGGGGACTGAACTTAATGTATGGAGGCCTGAGTCAGATTCCTTCCTTGTCCCCATTTATTTTACCTGCCAAAATGTTTTCCCTGCTGGAATAGCTCTGTGAAACCGGTATCTGCTTGTGACAACTTTTATTGGCACCCCTGTGGGTCTGGTGGGTTGGCTCAAGGGCACAGACCTTTGTTTGCCCTAGACCAGCTCCCTGCCCAGTGTGAGCAGCACATCCAACTGACAGAGCTTCCAGAAGTGCATTGGAGTTGTGTCTAATTAGCAGCCAGAAGTGTTCCTGCCTGTCCTTGGAACAATGGTGGGCTCCAGCATGTGTCCATTCCTTGTTCTCCCCGACAGCTCACAGGATCGATGCCGATGGCTAATGCGGGGAACACGCATCTCTCACGGTACCTGGGTCAATGGAAACTGCAAAACCTCCCCCGGACGCTGCAAGTTTCAACAGAGACACTTTTATTTTTACTGTCTGTATAGCAGGCGGTGTCCTGGCAGTTCTGTTAGGGACAAAAGGACAGACCCTGCTGCTTCAGGCAGCTCCCAGGCAATATCTGAGTTGTGGCTCGGTACCCAATAAAGCAGCGTGACTCTGAGTGCACAGTGCTTTCTGCCGAGGGCTGAGCGGGCACCCTGCTCCCAGCTGGCCACGGCCCATTCTGCACTCACACCTCTCTCCTGGTGCACAGCAGGGACAAAGACCTGTTCTTCTCACTTCTCCACGTACTTCCTGGGGTAGGTAACACACCTGCTCCTTCTCAGGAGGGGAATTTCAGTTCTCTGGCCACGTCCTAGAAGTCCCCTGTGCAAATACTTTTGGAGAGAGGTCAGTGATTGTTTCAATCTCAAATCTGTGTTTGAAATGCACTTGTTAGAAAAAGTATGTGCTTGAGTATGAATGAACTGCTCTTCCAGACAAGGCCACGGTGTATCATAGTTTTATTGATTCTTCTGCCACCCCCAACCATGTATTGTCAAGGATTTTCAGAAAAGAGGAAAGCAAGTGAGGGAGAAGGACAGCAGTTAATTTCATTTGATTCTGATGCTGCAGCTATCTCTTAATATCTAATTTATTTCTAGCAAAAATAAATGTAGTTCATAAAGTAAACCATACCAAAGTGAGAGAGGCCAAATGGATAAAGAGCTGAAAATGTAACACTCATCTGCCCTTTCTGAAAAGCAGCAGTTATGGCATAGATCCATTGGCTTTGTCTTGCCTAGAAGCCCTGCCAGGGATTTCCAGCAGAAGGGCAGTCCTAGGCTGGTGACAGAGCAGCTGGAAACAGCACCTTACAGAATCTACTACACACTGGGTACATCAGCACATCAGAGGCTTTTGCAGAGACAAGGAATCATGGTGGCTGCTTCTTGGTCAGTTTTGCTCTGGCTAAGCCCAGACCAGCCTTCATTGCTCGTGGGTGAAAGCAGAGGGGAAAACACCAATGTCTTGGCAATGCAGAGTTGCTTTTGACAACTCCTGCAATAACTCCTTTCCTGACATAGACCTGGCCCCTGTTCTGAGCAGCTGTGGTTCTCTGTTCTCAGGTCACTGCACCAGGAGAATGAGATTTCCAAAATAAATGCTTTCCCTTGTAAAAAACAAGTTCATATTATGAAGGGGTGTTCATTTGTTTTTATTAAAACCAAAACAACTCAGCTGTGACCAGTTCCTGGTGCAGGGCTTTATTTCACTTATGGCCAGCGTTCTGTCAATCTGAAATTAAATGTAATATGTGCAATAAATTATATTCAGCTGAAAAGAAGCTCCCATTCCCTTTGCATCTGTAGGAAGTTCCTGAGATGAAACTCCTGGAAAGTAAGGGTTGAAGGTTCTGTAAACGTAGCAGCACTCTCCATCCCATCCAGCTTATTGACCTCTGTTTGGTGGGACTGGGCAGAAATCTAAATCTCTTCCAGTTCCCTTTTGCTGTCACTGTGTGAGGTGTATGATCAGAAGTGAGGAGCCAGCCTGTAGAGATAGGACATGGCACAGGAGCATCCCTGAGAGCCAGGTGCTCAGTCTGTCTCCCAGCCCCCCTCATCCTTTCTTCCTTGTTTTCTGTCAGTGCTAAGTTTTGCCAAGACAGCCCCACTGCAGAACCACAGCCTTCACCACCGTATTCTTGCTATGAGCAGCTGCCATTCTATAGCCACAACTCCCCTGGGACTTCTTTTTATGACTCTGTAATTCAAGATTACCAACAGAATTAAAATCGAAGCTCTAAGCAAGCAGAGCTGAGCTTCTAGCCGAGCTTCCACCATGACCTAGTGCCATTTCCAAAAGGTTGAGCCACCTTTTCAGTTTGCCAAGGTGTTCAGGCTGCTGCTTTGATGGCAGCTGGCTGAGCAGCAGTGCCTGCAGGGTTGTGGCACATGTGTGAGCTGCAGGGTGGCACCAAGGCTCCGGCAGCGCTTGGGTGGTTTGGAGTCCTCGGTGCTGCCCAGGGTGGGGAGGGAGCTCTCTTTCAACACAGCTCCCAAAGGGTTCACAGGGGCTTGGTTTGGGTCTGGCCAAGCCTCCAGTCCTTGCAAAGGGGTGCAGTGCTACCCCAGGGCTGTTTCTGAGGCTGCAGGGACCAGGTGCCAGGACTGCACACTCCGACACCACTGGCATCCTGGCCTGGGCCCTGTCCCCCAGCTCAGTCATTGCACCCTTCAGCAGGCCCCTGGCACAAGCCCAGCACAGTGTCCCTGCTGTCTTCAGCCACTCTGGGCAGTGCCTGCCTCCCAACCCTCCACCCTGCCCAGCCACAGGGCTCCTCACCATGTCCCACACTCTTAAGGAGAGGCTAGCAAGGAGCAGCTGCTCCAGAGAAAGGTGGGGATACCTGCCAGCTCTTCCTATCTCCACCTGAGTGTATTTTTTCAGAAAGAGCACTTCAAGTGTCAAGTCTTCCTGCTGCCTGGCACAACAGCTCACAAACCAATAAATCATAACAGCAGACTCCTGAGTTTGGAATATAACGAACTCATTGTTCATTTGTCTCACATTTAAGAAAAAAACATGGTTCATTAAAAGTTTTAATGAAAAAATAAAGTTCTGAATTAAACTATAATTATACATGGCTGAAAGTGATGAACTAAAAGAATGGAGATGTTACTTTTTTATTTCTCTCTGCTGATATTGTAACGTGCTGGACACCATCCACTGGGATAAATCGAAGGGGACAGAACAAGAGTCAGTAACATTGATTAGTGTTGAACCTCTGTGAAAAAGAGCCAGTTCACTTGACAGTGCACCATTTCTCCCATAAAAGCTTCAGGAACACAGTCCACCGAGGTCCAGTTGAACTGCAGACACGCTGTCAACACAAGAGATACCAATGTCAGACCAGGTCCAACTCTTGCGCAGTTGTGGCCAGGATCTTCCAAAGCATTTCTGGGGAAATGGCAGCACTGGAGAACTTTGGTTATTTTTCTGGCTGCAAAGGACAGTCAGGCAGCCATTGGGGGCGAGTCTTTGGCAAACTCCTTGGTGGTTCCACATAGCTTCTGAAGGCAGCTCAGCAGAGTCATGGTTGAGAGATTTCACAGAAGCTGGTTTTCTGAACCCGGTCAGCTGTTACAGCTTGGTGGAACAAAGTTTTTATCAAGAACCAGGAGAGAAAAGTTGCATGTTGTGCACCTTTGTTGCCCTGCCCCACACTGTGGAGCCCTAGGGCCCCGTGGTACTGGGCTGTCTGAGGCTTTGGCAGCCCTGGGGCCCAGGTCTGAAGGAGAGCACTTGAACCCTGTGTGCCAGCAAGACCCTCAGTCATCACCAGGACACATCTGGTGAGCCAGTCCTCAGACAAGGCAGTGCTCCAATGCTGTGTGACTGCAGAACTCATGGGGACATGTTCCTGCTGGCACAGCTGGTCTGGCTGCAGCTGCTGTGCCAGCCAGTGCTTCTCTGAGCCGCTTACTGGACAGAGCACACACTGTTCTTCAGGCATAACTTCAGAGAAACACCTCAAAACATCAACCCAATTTGTGTGATCCATGTGGATCTGTCTGGTCACTGGGGAACAATGCCAGCATCTCCCTTGCTTTGTGTATCAGCTGTGACTCCCCATCATAGTCCTGAAGGGATTTCCTGTGGGCTAAGGCCCAGGAGGTCCTGTCTGCAGTGCTGGCCAGGGCCTCAGTGCTCTCCTGTCCACTCTGGATCCTCATTGCACTTCATCCTGTAGCTGCATTGCCTGCATTCACTTTGATCTGTGTCATTGCTACCAAAAGAATAAAGATTCTGGCTTTTTGGTTACAGTCCAGTTTCAAAAAACAAACAGCAAAAGCAAAAATCAACTCATCTGTCATACTTGGATGGACATGATCAAATTCCAAACCAGACCTGCCAGGTTCTACATTTCCTGTGGCCCCTTTTACAGCCCATGTTCAAATTCTGGGCTGAGAAAAGGCAGAGTCATCTTAAAACAGCACCATAGAGGTTAATGAAGGGACAGGAAATTGAGCAGTTTTCCCCCCATACACACATGTGAGCTGATCATGCAAATAAATCACAAAAAAATCACTGAAAGAAGAGACCTTCTAGGAAGGAATCTGATGCCGCTGATCCCCAACACTGCCTGTCCAGGAAAAGGGTTGCTCCTTCCTGCCAGGGCACTGTCCCTTGGCACAGGAGGGACCCCGAGTCTCATTTGCACTTGGATGATGCCAAATGACAGAACTCCCCTATGCTCAGGCCCGTGGAAGCAGCAGCAGATCACACAGAGGCCGGTAGCACTGAGGCTGACTCCTACGGAGCCTTAGGATATCTAAGATAGATCTATACGGACAAATGGGCAAGTATAATATCACATTGAATTTAAAACACAGGGCCATTTACTTTTCAGACTCTTCACACAGACTCCCTCCTCCTCCCCTCCCTCTTTGGGAGGAGGAGTTTTCTAGCACAGAGAAGATTTGCAGTTTCCCAATGGAATGAGAAAACCTACTTGGCAAAGGTATTGTACATCACCCAGTCATCTTAACCAGACAAAACTCCACTGAGCTCAGAGAGCTTTGTCTGTCCCTCGAGAGTCTCCGCCACAGTTCTGCCCAGGCGGCCGCTCCCAGCTCCGGCTGCCCACGGCTCGGCGATTCCTCATTCCTGGGCCGCAGGCCGGCTGGGCAGCCCTCTCACCGGAGCAGCAGCAGTTCAGGGGAGCCCTCCCCGGCCTCCCCGCCGGCACCCACAGCTCGCCCACCCACGCAGCACGTGCCTCCCCCCTAGTCCAGAAAGCGCCTGCGCGAGCCCGTCCGGGAGCGGTTCGAACGGCGAATGTCAAACTTGGAGTCCCGGCACTTCTGGCAGATGTAGATCTCTGGGACGTTTGACTTGCGGATTTTGGCGCAGGAGAGGTGGATCCAGGTATGGCACTCATTGCACTCGATCATCGGCCGCCCAGCAAAAGGCTTCATGCAGAAGCAAGTGACCAGGTCCCACGAGTCGTCATCTGTAAAGACAAATGTCAAAGATACATTTTTAGCAGCTGACACCTCTCACACCAGGAATTTTCTCTCTTTTTCACACTAAATTAACTACCTGGGTTTCAAAGGCAAGCACTTTGCTGCTTTTCCCAGGTCTCTTACACAGCAAGAGACCCTCAGCAGTACACAGGAGGCCGTAATTGAGGACAGGAGAACCAGCTGCTTCTATAAAGTTGCAGCTTTTCACTCAGTTTATGGCAGAAAGAACCAATCCACCTCTCTGCCCCTGAAAATCCAACTGCTCCTGAATTCCACCCAGGCAGTGCTCCTCTGCATTATCCTCAGGCTACAAGTAAAGCACAACTACTTCCACTTGGCTAATCCTCTTGGACAGCCAAGCCTACCTGAATCCACCATGATGTCCTCGTCATCACCAGTGCCGTCCTCATCCCGAAAGACCACCTGCTTGCCCTGCCGAATGACCGTTCGTTTGCCCACGCTCTGGATCTCCACCGTCTGCTCGCTCGTCACAGCAGGGTAGGAGACACTGGACGGGGTGTCAGAGTCCCACACCGAGCAGTGCTCAGTCACAGACTGAGGGTCACCCTCCGAAGAGGGGCTCATTGGCGTCTCTGCGTAAGAGTCCTCTGCCTCCAGATCCAGCAGCTTCTCCTCATAGTCCTCCTCTGCAGACACCTCTGTTTCCCTCCTTTTCAGCTTTTTCTTCTTCCTGATCTTATCGATTTGCTTTCGCTCTGGCAGGAAGTTGCTGGCCTTTCCCCGCTGGAACAGGGAACCATATGGTTTCGCTCGCTTAAGCTGACTAAAGTTCTTTCTGTTCTTGGAGGGCAGGGAGACAGAGGAGGGGGTGTCATTGAAGCGGGGATCCCAGCTATCACTGTCAATTGTGCCTCCAGTGCTGTTGGGAGGGCTGGGGCTGTTCCTCAGTGGCGTTTCCTGGAACATGTCGAGGAAGCAGGTAACAGTTTGACTTAGAGCAGACGCTCATGCAGTGCAAGGCAGAGTCCCCTATCCCGCAGGGCACTCTGTCCATCCCTGAAGTGCTGTGCCCTGTCCTCTAGAGTGGTGTCCCCTACCCGCAGGGGCGCTGTCCCCTGAAGCACTGTGCCCCATCCCTGAGGCACTGAGCCTTTTCCCCCTCATACTGTCCCCTGTCCCATGGGCCCTGTCCCCCAGGCGCTGAGCCCTGTCCCCTGAGATGCTGAGTCCTGTCCCCTGAGAAGCTGAGTCCTGTCCCCCCAGACGCTGATCCTTGTCCCCCGAGGCGCTGAGTCCCGTCCCCCCAGGCACTGTGCTCTGTCCCCCAGGCGCT